AAGTCACCCAGGGAGGCAGGGACAGAGCCAGTAGCTGCGTCCTAACAACCACGCTCTCCCCCGTGCCCTCTCCCTCCCCTCCTAGTCTCTGTAATTCGAGAAGCACAGTTGTCCTCCCACACGTGCTAGATCCTTCCACAGAGGCTGAGCAGAAGCAGTGGCCCCACAGCTGGGTTCTCTGAGGTGGGGGACCCCAGCCCTGCAGGAGACAACCCTTTGACCTAGATGTATTATCATTTTTCGCTGCTGTTTTCTAACTTATTCATGTGCATGTGTATCCAGATATGAGATACATATATCTGAAACTGGGACTCAGAAGAGACCTAGTTTACTTAGGAGCATTTTCTTTCCTTTTCTTTCACAGCAAACAATTGATGGCATTTTAGATACAGTGAAATGCAATGTCCCCGCCCCCCACCTCCTAGAGGGAATCTTTAATCCCTCTGATTGTGAAATGGAGCAGTTAGAACAACCTCCATTGACAAAAGAGAAAATTGAGGCTCCGTGAGGGACAAGAATGTCCTCTGTGAGTTACAGGGCACTAGGCAGGAGAGAGGTTTCCCCATGGGTCCCTCTGGAGTGGAGCATGGAAGCCAGACTGGGAAAAATGCTCAGTTCTAGAAGAGTCCTCTGCTCTCTTGACTGGACTGGGCTCCTATGAGGCTCATAGATAAAGGAAACAGGCACCTGCTGGGTAGGAGACAGGGGGCTAACAGTGTCCGCTGAGATCCAGTTGCTACTTCGGCAAGTGTCTGCTGTGGGAGGGTGGTGGGATGGGGGCCAGTGGAGTTCCAGAGTGAAGGTCTGAGAGCCTAGGGGGAAGGGGCATTCTTAAGACCCAGGCTGGGGCAACCCTGTGATGGATGCTTAAAAACCCTCCCATGAGCTGACTCTGCCAGGAGGCAGGTTACAGACATCCTTAGCTCCCCCAGGAAGCCCCTAGGCAAACCAAGGGGAGCAGGACAGCCATGGTCTAGGCTCTGAGTCCAGGCAAGCTTTGAACATGAGAATTGGACATTTCACAGATGGGAAGTGTGAGGCCCAGAGAGGGGAAGGGACTTACCAAAGGCCCCCGACAAGGGGTGACCGGCCTTAATTTTTTCATATTAACAACGGTGACAGCTCGAGTGGATGGAGCACACCCTATGTGCCAGGCCTGTGCTAAGCACTTTACACACAATTCTATGAGGAGGCCACTATTATTACTCCCACTATACAGATGAGAGAAATGAGGCTGGGAGAGGTTTTAAGCAATTTCCCCTAGATTGCTGGGGGAGGTGGAAGACGACAAACTCAGGAAGTGGGACTGCAGACCCAAGCTCCTTCCGCAGCCTGTGGACCTCTTAGAAGGGTTTCCAGAGCATTCCTGTCCCTCTTCTGGCACACTTGGGGGATCTCCACCCCTCCCCAGGCCCCGGGGATTCCTCAGGAATCAGACCATTCCTTAGACGCTCTCCAGCCAGCATGGGAGACACAGTTGGCACCTCACTGCCAAAAACGAACTTGGAGTGCACTCCTAGATGCCCTCCAGCGGCGGATTCCTTCCCTGGAGCAAAGGAGATGGCCACAGAGGTCCCAGATAGGGTCCTGGTTTACCCAGCTCTGGGCCAAAGTGGGGGAGAGGTACCCTGAACTTCTGCTCCATCACACTGCTGGACAACTTGGGGTGCTCCTGGGTGGGGACCATTCGATAGAGATCGGGCTGTTTTTCCGTTGGAAGAGAGAGAGGAGACGACTGTCCACAAACGATGGAGAGCGGAGGGAGTGTCTGGGTGTCCTAGGTGGGGGAATGGGAGTTTGTCGCCAGGGATGAGGAGGAAGCAGGTTGGCGATCGCTGGAAATTGGGAAGGAGCTCGCCTGTTCCTCTCTGCGCGCCCCCCCGCCCCCGCAACTTCCCAGAATGGGACGGGAAAGGAGTGTGCATTTCTGGTGTGGAAAACGGTCTGCTGATAGGAAGGCACAGGGACGCTCCGGTGTCTGGAGATGTGAAGGCAGAAAGCGTCCGTCCATCAGGGGTGGGGAAGGCGGCCTTCGGACTGACACTACGCCATCGGTTTATCCTAGCCTAGACGTGGCTGTACAGATGGTGAAGAACATTACTGGCCGTCCGTCCAGAAGGGGCAGCTGGCAGGAGGCAGCGCGCGGTGGGCGCGGAGACCGCAGCTGGCACGCATCTGTGCGCAGTCGAGCCCGGCGCGTCCTCAGCTGGCAGCGCGCAGGCGCCAACTAGCGGCGGCTCCCGAAGTTGCTCCTGCCCCGCGACCCCCGAGACCTCCGGCTGGGGACCCAGGCGCCAGCAACCCCCTTCCCTTGATTCCGGCGCCAACGGGCAGCGAGCGCCCCCCGAGGAAAGCAGCCGCCCCGGGTCCTGGGCTAGGTGCCGGCACCCACAAAAGCCCGTTCTCTGGAAACCCGTTTGTAAACCCGCTGTAGGGTGAGAGGGAGAAATCAGGCGGAGAGACAAGTGATGAGCATGGGTGCCAACCGAAACCACTCGACCAATCGAATTTACAGCCCCAGAAGCAGCTGGTCATGTCCCCAGAGCCCCTCGAGGGCAGCACGCGTCCTCTGCCCCTGCCCCGGGCCCGACCTGGCCACGACGCGCTCGGCCTTTCCCGGGGAAGCTCCCGGAGGTCGGACGCGCGAGGCCCGGCTCCCCCGCTTTGCTCCAGTCGTGCTGCTCATGCCAGCCCGTCCGAGGGCGCGCGGGCCTTGGCCCCGGCCATCGGCCACTCTGAGGCGCAGGCTCTCCAAAAATGTTCAGTAAGGGACCTCGCCGTCTTTTCTTTCGAAATGGCCCGAGGGGCTGGCGTGAGCCCGGGGATAGGTCCCCAGGCGGTCGGGGTTGGGGCCAGAGCCCGTCTGTCCTGGCACGGGGGGCTTGATTTCGTTTGGCGACGACGAAATGGCTCACGCTGGGCCGGGGTCAGACCCAGGACGGGATCTTGCGGCCACCGTCGGATCCTATGGTTCCTTGCTCCCCAGGTTTGGAATTCGTCGTTTTGCACCTGTCGAGCGCCGGAGGCAACGAAAATCCAGTCCAGTCTCCAAAGCGGTCAGCAGACTCAGCACGCGCTGGGTTCTCAGGTCCAGGGAACTCATGTGGGGCGATGCTTCGGAGTACATGGGGGCTAGCTCTCTCCGGTTCCCCTCCCCGCTGCAGCCCGTCGTAGGCCCACTCGCCTGGCCTAGGAGGCGGGAGAGGAAGGGGTTGTTTGCAGCCGGCCGAGCAGGCAGAGCCTCAGCCGAGCCGTCCGCGTCCCTGCGGCGGGGGCGGTCGGAGCGCACGGGCCCAAGAAAAACACGGGCTTGGACCCATGGGGGCCACTTTCCATCCACATGGAGGAAGAAAATTCTTCCTCTGGAAGCCGGGGCCCTTCGCTTGGCAGCCACTCCGCACAGTCTTCTTACCACGGGCCTCCTTCACGTCCCTTTTGACGATGCAGGGCCGTGGTTACGCGCGTGGAGGGGAAAAGTCGGGAAAACACGCGTTTTGCAGGCCCCACCATGTTTTTGAAAGAGCCACAGGCTGCCACAACGAAGAACGACGCCCCAAGGCCTGTGCGATCCTAAGACTTGTTCTGGGAGGAGAGGGGGGACTGCGGGCCCGTGGGGGGTTCCCTCCGTCTGTCCCCGGGTTGGTCCAACGGCCACCGAGGTTGGGACCAAAGCCGCGCAGGGCTGGGAGCTGCAGAGGCGGCTGGCTGAGCCCGGACGCACGAGGACCCCGTGTGCCGTGGGTCAAAATCGTTTGCGGGGCGAGGGGGTAGGGTGAGTAACCCCTTTGGGGCGGCTCCCCGCGCGGTGTCACCGTCCTTGGGCCCTCTCTGGTCCCCAGCTGAGGGTGCAGCTGTTCACAGGCCAAAAACAGCTGGAGCTTGGGAGGCCCGGCAGCGGCCAGCGGGGACAGGGAGGAAAGGCGCTGGGGCCCCCGCGCCAGGGAGGCGCGACCCTGGAGACGGCGGCCAGGGAGCGTGTGCGGGGCCCGGAGCGCGCGTCTGCCCCGGCGCT